CCCCCCCCCCCCCCCCACAGCCACTGATAATTAAGTGGTTTCATTTTTGCATCTGATTGATTCAGAGGGTTGAACAAGTTTTCTCAACAAGCCATAGAGCATAGTAGAGCAACAGAAATGCAATCCTGGATGGCTTTTGACCCTTCTTTGAAAAGTGCTATTACACATGTACTTATCCCAGTATGAAATGCAGTGGTCAGGGATGATAATCTCTCGGCTAATAAAATGACAGACAGCATGCATATGTATGTTGGTGCCATTATTTGAAGAAAGTGGTAAACAACTGCATTGTTTTCATTGTTGTACTGGTCATGATGTTTTCATCCTCTTCATTCTGAGACCACAGCCATTATCTGGATAAACAGAAAGTTCACATTGTCATATTGTTACTAATTTTGTCTGTTTCTTGTTTTGAAATGATTGACTGTTTCATTGCAGGCTATGGCAGATGTAACTGGTGAAGAATTTCGCACATTTATGACCATTCTTTCCTCATTAAAAGTAATGGGCAGTGCACACCAAGAACTTGCAGATATAGTTGGAGAACAGGCTGAACTAAGCCAACCATTCCAGGTAAATCTCTACTTTATATCTTGATCCAAGATCTGGGTGTTATACTCAATATAGCCAAATTTAACTTGGGGATACAGGTCTGAAATAAAGTATCACTACAACATGTTAACTTATAGGTTAAAAGGATGCTGCATTGTAAATGCATATTTAAGACATTATTTATTTCTAACTGTTGATCTTTTCAATCTAACAACAGTTTTAAGTGTGACCAACTGCAGTGTAATTGAATTTGAAGGGTTTTTTTACTTAAGATGATATATACATAAATTGTATTTTGATCTACTTTAACTTTCAGCCTGGAGATGCTGATATTGTCGACAGATTCATTTCATGCGCCAGACAAGCAATTCCATATTTTGTGGTAAGTTCCTAGAAACTGTCACGGCAGAAGGGCCTTGTCTCAGAGTGACTACAACTGTAAGAGGTTTTGAGGTTGACTTCTTTCAGCTGTAGTGCTCCTCTTGTTTTGTATCTGAGGGAAAATCTAATGGTCAGTTACATAGCAAAGTTTGCTATCACATTGTTAGACTTCCAGACTGAATACAGTCTACTATAGGCTCCAAAAAAATACAATTAATACTGTCCTTTTTGAAATTGTAATAAAGCAGTCAGCCTTATGTTGTATGTGTAAGGCAGTTTTAAAGCATCTTTTTGTCATTTTTTGTTTATGGTTTCTAGAGAGAGAGAGAGAGGGAGAGAGTGTGTACCTCTTGTGTCATCAGTGCCATCAGATGGTTTTGATGCAAGGAGGAATTCTGAGGGAATGTTTTCTCTTTTTTTCTGTAGAAAGGAGCTTCAGCCCAGACATTTTTCACTTACTTTGTTGAGAGTGTTTTACCAAAGCTGAATGAGGTGGTTACTTCTGATGGTGAAGATGTCAAGCTAGAGATATTGAAATTGTGTGCAGAAATGTCACCGCATGGTTTGACAGATGAAAATATCAAAGCAGCTATAGAACCTGTCTACAACTTGCTTTTGGTAAGGTGTTTCAGAGGTAGTGGCTTTCTGTTCTTGTTTTGGCTAATCATTCAAATGGTATAAATTTCCTGTACCAGGAATTAAAATTTAATTTAAAGACTTGACAACCCTCACACCTTTGGAGGCGGAGATAAATTATTGTATCTCAGGGTACAGATACATGTGTCTGCACATTTCATGAAGGCTTTCCTTTGCTTCACCTGTACCCACTTTAACTTCTGAGTTTATTGACAATTTTTGAGGTTTAGGTAGTTAAAAATCTGAGTTAATTATCACGAGAGAATCATAAAATTAGTCATTTACATGTAGTTGAAGATTGCAACAAAGGGTTTACAGTACAGTTATTTTGTTTTCCTTAGGTCTGCCCCAAATTGTGAGAAAACCCCATTGAACATGGGACCTGATACATGCTTTTATGTGTGAAAATCAAACTGTTTAAGCTATTGATCCTGGATTTTAGCTAAAACTCTCTTGGTCAGCCAGGCTCACAATTGAAAAAAAACTTTGTCAGGGTTAAGTGTCTTGCCATTAGTGAATCATTACTCAGTCATTGCTTTATCCAGAGCCAAGACTACCAGTGTCCTTTCTATGAGCTGCAATTGGTGGCATAAGCACACAAGATGCTGTAAATGATAATTTTCCCCAAAGAAGACTGATTTTAGAAGTTCTCTTTTAGTTAGGAAGCTTTTCCTCCTCCCTCTCTCCCTCCCTCCCTCCCTCCGTCCCCCAAATAATGTTGAACTCCCTCTGACATGTTAAAAAACTCAAAATTGTATGGGAAGGGTTATGTGTAGGTGGACACCATTATATCCAAAACCTTTTTTCAATTTCTATAAATAATTTTCTCATTCATAGAAAATTTAAATGCTGGTGGTCACTTTTCATGCATGGATGATTTTATTTTTCTTTTGACTTGGTGACCAGTGAATGATTGCTGATATTTTCATTGTCTTCAAAAAGTATACCTTGTACAAAATTCATCCACAGGAATACATGCCATTACCTCCTGGTGATGAAGAGGAAAAAAGTGCTGAAGAAAACTCTGAACCAAAGTTCCAATTTTCCTATGTTGAATGCCTTATTTCTACATTTCACCAGCTAGCAAAAAAGGTAAACATGTACACAATGTATGTGTAGCTACCACTGCAGTGATTTTTGTTAAGATTTCCCTGTATTAGCCTGGAGTCTTTTTTAAGACTTAAAAGTGGACTATGGCCATTGGAAATTGAAATTGGTGTCTTTGCCCTGCCATATACCTGTTGCACCTGGTTAGTTTTAATGTTACATACAGGTGATTTTCGCATTTTATGTGCTGAGTGGTCAAGGGCAAAATTGTTAAAGACATATTGCTTTGGAATTTGGCTACTGAAGTAGTGGCCTAGTTGTGAAGAGCTGTTACTACCAAAAGCAATGGGAAACAAGGTAGTGTTATGGGAGTTTGAGTAAGTGAATAGCTTATGACTAGAAATGCTTTTCATGGAAGATGGTCATTAGTTTGAGTTGGAGCAGAAGCTCAAGTTAGCTAAATACAATTTAATAAGGTTCCAGTATGGTGGATTGGTACAATATAGTTTTAAGTAATACTTCTTATCGTATTACTGAAAGTTACTTGTTGTTATCTCCTTCTCTCCCTCAGAACCCAGAGTTTTTGACCGACACAACTGCCGCAGAGCGCCTGAAAGATTTTCGACTTAGGTAAACAATAACAAACCATATGTTGTTGTGCTTTCTTTTTGTCTAATTGTTGTATAGAACTCGCTTTGAAAAATGATTTCATAATTGTGATAATTGTTTTATAACTTCAGTGACTTTTCAATTAGGTCACTTTTACAAAAAGTATAACACCAATGTGTTTAAATAATGCTTAGTGGTACCTGAGTAGAATTTCAAAATGAACTTGTGTGTTGATTGACAGGGAATGTGTTTGGTAATTCTTGTCCTACAGTATATTTATGACAAATGAATCTGTACTCACTGTTATTGGTTATTGAATAAGTGTGTTTCTCTGAACTTTGTATTTTACAGGCTTCAATACTTTGCTCAGGGCTGTCAAGTGTATATAAAACAACTAAGATTATCACTGCAAGGCAAGACTGGTCCAGCACTTCAAGAGGAGGAAAATAAAATAAAAATTGTAGCTCTCAGAACGACTACTAACATCAATGCTGTCATCAAGGTATTAACGAATATGAATGTATGGATATTGTAAGTGTGAACTGCAGATTAATAGTGGTAATTGAACTGAGTGGAGTGCAGTTTGGGCTGAAATCATATGTGTGATTTCAAAAT